TCTTCAAGTGCCAGTTTGGGTAACAGTACCCATAGACCCCAATGTACTTTAGGTCCTATTCACCAAAAGGTAATGAGTGTTGTTTACATTGAGAAGCAAGTGTCCAGCTCTTTTCTGGAGGAAGTGGGCGGCTCTTAAAAGAGCCTTTGGGTTGTCTGTTGGGATTCCAACTCCAGCCAAGAGAGGCTGCTGGGAGTTGTAGTCCTACTTGGAGCTGGTGTACTTGGTGACGGCCTTGGTGCCCTCAGAGACGGCGTGCTTGGCCAGCTCCCCGGGAAGCAGGAGGCGGACGGCGGTCTGGATCTCGCGAGAAGTGATGGTGGAGCGCTTGTTGTAGTGCGCCAGGCGGGAGGCCTCACCGGCGATGCGCTCGAAGATGTCGTTGACGAAGGAGTTCATGATGCTCATGGCCTTGGAGGAGATGCCCGTGTCCGGGTGGACCTGCTTGAGCACCTTGTAGACGTAGATGGAGTAGCTCTCCTTGCGGCTCTTTCTGCGCTTCTTGTCGCCCTTCTTCTGGGTCTTGGTGATGGCCTTCTTCGAGCCCTTCTTGGCCGCTGGCGCTGACTTCGCTGGTTCAGGCATGATCAATGAGTACTTCCTCTCACTACAGTTCGGAAACAACTGTGATGTCGAGCTCCCTGCCGCCCGGCTTATTTATAGGAGTGCTATGCAAATGAGGGACTCCAAATATCCGTTTCCTATTGGCCAGAGAGATGGCTTTTCGAACGTTGAGCGTCTATTGGCTAGAGTAGCGGTTCATCATTGGTCTAGGAAACAGCGCCCCAATTGGTTGTTTGAGAAATTCACCTTGCTTGCTATTGGTCGCGGCATTTTAAGTGTTATCCAATCGAAAGCGCACATTTTGAAACCACTGTAGGGAAATCAAGCTAATCCATTCTATTAATTCTGTAGTGTAGATGTATTCTCAATAATACCTTTGGATAAAGCATAGGCAATTATCAGTTATTAATTATCGAGGGAGCTGAAACTACCCAGATTATTTTTTTTTTAAAGAAAGAAATAGAACATATAGAATTTTCCACTTTCATACAGTGAAGGTTCTTTGTGTTTTCAAAAGAGGGGAAATGCGGATTAAGGTTATTTTTATTATAATATTATTATAATATATTTTATTATTATATTTTATTATTATATTATATTTTATTATTATATATTTTATTATATTTTTATAATAATAATTTTTATTATATAAGGTTATTATTATTATTATTAATAATAATAATAATAATAATAAATAAATAAATAAAAATTTTGCTTCCCTTTTGTTTCTGGTACTGATCTGGCTTAATTTTATATTTCTAATACCTACTTCTTAAGCTTCAGGCGTTACTATTTGCCCAATACTAACTAAATTCGAAGAAACTTAAACCTTAGTGACTGCAAATGAATTTTAAAGGGGAGACATAGGTTTCAAGGATTTTGTTTATTGTTTATTTCAGATTTACAAAGAGTACCCGGATGAGATGGGCGGGGGGGAGAGAGAGATAGGAAAGATTTCTTCTAATGCTGCAGATTTTTCACTGCCATAAATCTTTTATTTACATTGGGATTTTTTTTAAAAAATATTTTATCCCGTGGAGGAGAGAGGGGGAAAAAAAACTTGTGGAGATGCCGGGGATCGAACCCGGGGCCTCATACATGCAAAGCATGCGCTCTACCACTGAGCTACATCCCCGACCTGCTGAAACAGGCGCCATTATTCAGTCAAAAGGAATTGCATTCATATCTCTGGCAGGAAAAGCAAGCAACATGTTAATTATTAGCTTGGGTACCTGGCTTTACCCAGGTTATTTTAAAAAGTCGGTTTTAATTGCACACAATGCATAAGGCTGTGGGTAAACTACAACTCCCATCAAGCCAGGTTAACCCCTGAAAAACTCTATCAGTACTTAAAGTTGGTTAAGTTGGGCAGGTTTGCTGTAGAAGCATCATTTGGGAGGGGGGGGGGTCTAGTGTGCTCTCTGGCTGCAGGGTGAACTACAACTCCCACTATGGTGAGTCACTCCCCTCAAACTCCTCCAGTAAGTTGAGTTAGTCATGGGGATTCTGTGTGCCAAGGTTGGTCCAGGTCCATCATCGATGGAGGTCACAGTTTCTCTGGTTGTGGGTGAACTACAACTCCCAGAAAAGAAGATCAGCTCTCCCCAAACCCCTCCAGTAATCATATCAGGTATGTGTGCCAAGTTGGGTCCAGCTGCAATGGTGTTTGGGATTGTGGTGCTCTCTGGATGTAGGTGAACTACAACTCCCACAAATCAAGGCAAATGCCCCCAAAAGACCTCCAGTATTTTTTTGCTGGCAACGAGGGCTCTGTGTGCCGAGTTTGGTCCAATTCCCTCTTTGTTGGAGTTGAGAGTGCTTCTTGATTGCAGGTGAACTATAAATCCCAGTACCTACAAGTCCAAAATGTCCAGGCCAATTCCCCTCAAAACCCACCAGAATTCAAACTTGGGCATAGCAGGTATGAATGCCAAGTTTGGTCCAGATCCATCATTGTCTGGGTTCATAGTGCGCTCTGGATGTAGGTGAACTACAACTCCTACAAATCCCTCCAAAGACTTCCAGGACTTCTCGTTTGTCATGGGGCTTCTATGTGCCAAGTTAGTTCCGGGTCCATCGTTGGTGGAGTTCAGGGTGCTCTTAGATTGCAGGTGAACTATACATCCCAGTACCTGAGAGGAGATATGATAGCCATGTATAAATATGTGAGAGGAAGCCACAGAGAGGAGGGAGCAAGCTTGTTTTCTGCTTCCCTGGAGACTAGGACGCAATGAAGCAATGGCTTCAAACTACAAGAGAGGAGATTCCATCTGAACATGAGGAAGAACTTCCTGACTGTGAGAGCCGTTCAGCAGTGGAACTCTCTGCCCCAGAGTGTGGTGGAGGCTCCTTCTTTGGAAGCTTTTAAACGGGCTGGATGGCCATCTGTCAGGGGTGATTTGAATGCAATATTCCTGCTTCTTGGCAGAAAGGGGTTGGACTGGATGGCCCATGAGGTCTCTTCCAACTCTTTGATTCTATGATTCTACCTGCAACTCCAATAAATCATGGTAAATGCTCCCCAAACTTCTCTAGTATGTTCAGTTGCTGATCAATTCCTCTGTTTGCTGTGTGCCATAGAAAAGAATAGGAAAGGGTTAAAGGAGAGGCAGTGGGTGGGGTCATGCAAATTCCACACCAATGAAGACTGTAAGGAACACTGGGATGTCTGTGGTGTGGTGGAGGAAACACATAAAATCTAGGAGGAAATTGTCCCCATATGAAAGCCTTCACTCGGGTGGTGGGCAGTATGGTGTTTGTGGAGGACATTGGCAGGGTTCTTGGACATGTTCATGGTACTCACTATAACCTGCAATGTCATTGAAGGGGAGAAATTGGTGTCTCCTGAGTAATGGGCGCTATATCTGTTTGTGGAGCCAGAAGCTTGTTTGTGTAAGTGGGTACCCCAGCCACACACACATACATATTTTCACTTTTATTATGTGTATAGAAGATTTATTTCTTGTATTAGGAGTGAACTAAGGGTCCAGGTGTAATGTATTTAAAAACACACAAAGTTTAATAACTCAGCATTATACTAAATGTCCTTTGACCAGTATCTGGCCACTTGGAGTGCCTCTGGTGTTGCCGCAAGAAGGTCCTCCATGGTGCATGTGGCAGGGCTCAGGTTGCATTGCAGTCAGTGGTCTGTGGCTTGCTCTTCTCCGCACTCGCATGTCGTGGATTCCACTTTGTAGCCCCATTTCTGAAGGTTGGCTCTGCATCTCGTGGTGCCAGAGCACAGTCTGTTCAGCGCCTTCCAAGTCGCCCAGTTTTCTGTGTGCCCAGGGTGGAGTCTCTCATTTGGTTATTTATTTATTTATTTGTCGTGTCAGGACAACCAGTCAAATTATATTATGTTTCTAACAGAAGAAAGCAAACAGACAAAATACAAAATGTGTGAGTTTGGTAGTTGATTAAATGTCCTTTGACCAGTATCTGGCCCCTTGGAGTGCCTCTGGTGTTGCTGCAAGAAGGTCCTCCTTGTGCATGTGGCTGGGCTCAGGTTGCATTGCAGCAGGTGGTCAGTGGTTTGCTCTTCTCCACACTCGCATGTCGTGGATTCCACTTTGTAGCCCCATTTCTTAAGGTTGGCTCTGCATCTCGTGGTGCCAGAGCGCAGTCTGTTCAGCGCCTTCCAAGTCACCCAGTTTTCTGTGTGCCCAGGAGGGAGTCTCTCATTTGGTATCAGCCATTGATTGAGGTTCTGGGTTTGAGCCTGCCACTTTTGGACTCTCGCTTGCTGAGGTGTTCTAGCGAGTGTCTCTGTAGATCTTAGAAAACTATTTCTACATTTAAGACTTAAATCTCATTTGATAACAGCCATGGATTGAGGTTCCGGGTTTTAGCCTGCCACTTTTGGACTCTTGCTTGCTGAGGTGTTCCTTTTGAGTATCTCTGTAGATCTTAGAAAGTTTTCTTGATTTAAGGCAATGGTGTGCTGGCTGATATCTGAGACTGCCATAATAATAATAATAATGATTTTTTTATATATATATCCCGCCACCATCTCTCCAAAAGAGGACTCAGGGTGGCTAACATGAGGTCAAGCCCAAAGATACAATACTGCAAAATAAAATACAAAATGTAGACAACAGCAAGAAAATCACACCCATGCAGATATATCCTCCTTTCCGAATTAAAATGGATTTTCAGCACTCATTACTAGTAAAACACCCACTACAAGTTTCTTCCTTTCTTCACCTGTAAGGTTAATTTAAACAAGTCTCATGGAAATTTTGAAAATATAAATACATTTCTATCCATGCTCACAGCAGTAAAAAAAAAAAACTCCAGAAAGAAAAAAAATATGGGAGGGAATTTTTTTATGTAGTGGTTCTCTATGCTTTGGAAAAATAAAGATTTCCTTTTACACACCTGAGTATAAAAGCAATACAGCCTTTTTTCAGAGAAAGTGGGCGGTCCTTAAAAGGACCTTTGTTTTGCTTTTAGGAAATTGTATCAGAAACTTAGCCTCCGAAGCCGTAAAGAGTGCGGCCTTGTCGTTTCAGGGCATAGACGACGTCCATGGCGGTGACAGTCTTCCTCTTGGCGTGCTCGGTGTAAGTCACGGCATCGCGGATGACATTTTCCAGGAAGACCTTCAGGACACCCCGGGTTTCCTCATAGATGAGCCCCGAAATGCGCTTGACGCCTCCACGACGAGCCAGGCGGCGAATGGCGGGCTTGGTGATGCCCTGGATGTTGTCACGGAGCACCTTCCTGTGCCTCTTTGCGCCTCCTTTGCCCAAGCCTTTGCCTCCCTTTCCACGTCCAGACATCTTCACTCACTGACTGTAGAAACAAACTGTGCCGTAGCGTAGAGCAGCTGCCCTTTTTATAGCGCCAGGTCCGACCAGAGGGAAAACTGCGCCCTAGAGATTTTTCGCGCCTTTTCTTTACCCGCTGCTACTTCACTACAACCATCACTAAGCTCCGCCCCCAAATCAGTTTTGACCAATGAGAAGCGGAGAATTGTTCAGTCCTTGACTTCAATGCCCCCAAGTAGATAAAACCTTTTTGTTCACTGAGAAAGTTTTTATTTTAATGCAGAAAGTTTTTAAGGACTCGACAGGCGGTGCTGTGTAGTGTTTTTAAAATTATTTAACTGTTTTAACGATTTCATATGATTTTAATTAATTAACTATTTTTATCCTGTCTTTCTCCCAAAATAGAGACTTTGTCAAAATTCTAGGTTTGATTCTATTATGTATGTAGTAGATTTTAAATTGTATTGTTTTTCATGTTGTGAGCTGCATTGGGACTCATTTAAAAGAGGAAAGCAGGGCATAAATAGAATAATATTTATTGCAGATCTCAAAATGAACTAAAATAGAAGCTTTTAAGCAGAGGCTGGATGGCCATCTCTCAGGGGTGATTTGAATGGAATATTCCTGCTTCTTGGCAGGGGGTTGGACTGGATGGCCCATGAGGTCTCTTCCAACTCTTTAATTCTATGATTCTATCTGCATTGCAGCAAGACTTTTAACAGGCCAATTAATAGGCACAAAATACAGTCTGCAAGCTTTTGAATCTCACAAGTGGACATCAAGCAGGGATGTTAGCATTTATTTTAGGGGAACATATGATGTGTATGTGTTCCTTCTCCTGAAATAGAACTTACAGTTCCTGAGATTCATTGAGCAGCAGGCTCCCACCCAACTACTAACCTGGTCTGAGCCTGCTTCACTTCCTTTTGGGAATCACAACATTGGATGTTTGGGATATTGAAAGTTGAGTTTGAGATGGTATTGAAGGGAAGTTTGATTTCTCCTTGCTGGATATGAGGCATTTGAGAAAACAAAGCAAGGCAGTAAATTTTATATATATTCTAGCAGTCCCCTGCCACGCATTGCTGTGGCCCAGTCTGGTGGCCTGGAAAATAAAGTAATTAGAAAGTGTTGGTTTCTAATTTAAGTAATGCCTTGATGCTTGTGGGTAAACAGTATTTCTTGTTGTTTCTTTGTCAGTGTTGATGTGGAGAGTGTCTGGTTTGCCTACTCTGGAATATGGAACATATCATTGTCCTTCTTTAGGGGTCCCTTTCAAATCTATACTATATCTGTGTGCGTGTGTGAATCATATCTATCTATCTATATCTATGGCTGGATGGCTCTTTGTCAGGAGGGCTCTGATTACATTTTCTTGCCCTGGTGAAGAGTTGGGCTGGATGGTCTTAAGTATTTTCTGTTGGTCATGGGGTTTTGTGTGGGAAATTTGCCCCAATTCTGTCGTTTGTGGGATTCGGAATGCTCTTTGATTGTAGGTGGACTATAAATCCCAGTAAGTACAAATCCCAAATGTCAAGGTCTATTTCCCCCAAACTCCATCTGTGTTCATATTTGGGCCTATTGAGTATTCATGCCAAGTTTGGTCCAGATCCATCATTGTTTGAGTCCACAATGATCTCTGAATGTAGGTGAACTACAACTCCCAAACTAAAGGACACTGCCCACCAAACCCTTCCAGTATTTTCTGTTGGTCATGGGAGAACTGTGTGCCAAGTTTGGTTCAAGTCCATCGTTGGTGGGGTTCAGAATGCTCTTTGATTGTAGGTGAACTATAAATCCCAGCAACAACTCCCAAATGACAAAAGCAATTTTTTTGAGTGAAGGACGTAGATTGGGTTGTTAGGTGTCTTGTGTCCAAATTTGGTGTCAATTCGTCCAGTGGTTTTTGAGTTCTGTTCATCCCACAAACGAACATGACATTTTTATTTATATAGATTATTACTATATTGTATTAGTATCTGAGAGTTCAGGAAAGTTCTGAGAGTGCCTTGGACTGCGAGAAGATCCAACCAGTCCATCCTCCAGGAAATAAAGCCCGGCTGCTCACTGGAGGGAAGGAGAGTAGACACAAAGTTGAAGTACTTTGGCCACATCATGAGGAGACAGCAAAGCCTAGAGAAGACAATGATGCTGGGGAAAGCGGAAGGCAAAAGGAAGAGGGGCCGACCAAGGGCAAGATGGATGGATGGCATCCTTGAAGTGACTGGACTGACCTTGAAGGAGCTGGGGGTGGTGATGGCCGACAGGGAGCTCTGGCGTGGGCTGGTCCATGAGGTCACGAAGAGTCGGAGACGACTGAATGAATGAACATTAGTATCTTGCATTACAATATTATGATCAATATATGTACATACAATAATTAGCAAAGGACAATATAAGTATTATGTATTACTATACTGTACTATACTGCAAAATTGTACTATGAGACTACATTTATTTATATTTATCGTGTCATCAGCAACCATACCATTACATTAGCAATCATAGATTACATTGGTATTATATGACATATATTATGCATGAGATGGGACCCATAGATCCTAATTACCAAAATATCATCCCAAAGTGTTGTTTACATTCAGGGTCACAAGTGTCCAGCTCTTTTCTGGAGGAAGTGGGCGGCTCTTAAAAGAGCCTTTGGGTTGTCTGTTGGGATTCCAACTCCAGCCAAGAGAGGCTGCTGGGAGTTGTAGTCCTACTTGGAGCTGGTGTACTTGGTGACGGCCTTGGTGCCCTCAGAGACGGCGTGCTTGGCCAGCTCCCCGGGAAGCAGGAGGCGGACGGCGGTCTGGATCTCGCGAGAAGTGATGGTGGAGCGCTTGTTGTAGTGCGCCAGGCGGGAGGCCTCACCGGCGATGCGCTCAAAGATGTCATTCACGAAGGAGTTCATGATGCTCATGGCCTTGGAGGAGATGCCCGTGTCCGGGTGGACCTGCTTGAGCACCTTGTAGACGTAGATGGAGTAGCTCTCCTTGCGGCTCTTTCGGCGCTTCTTGTCGCCCTTCTTCTGGGTCTTCGTGATCGCCTTCTTCGACCCCTTCTTGGCCGCTGGCGCTGACTTCGCTGGCTCCGGCATCTTCAACTGTCTCTTCTCAGCTCTCTGAGAGAATGAGCCGCTGCTCGCCTGCCTCGCCTATTTATAAGAACCGTATGCTAATGAACCACCGAAATCCAACTTCCTATTGGCTCACAAAGTCAACTCTTATTGGTCAGCAGCGTCAAATCCGCGCGTTCTTATTGGTCAGCGTGGAACCGTTGGTTAATAAGCCTCCCCTTGTTGGCGCGCACTGGGAAGTTTGATTCTATTGGTCAGAACGAGGATGCGCTCTCATTGGTCAGATTTCTACAGCCGCCCAATCAAAAGAGCGCATTTCAATCTCAGGGTTTTGAATTGAGGGGGGTGGGGAAGCCTTCCTTTTTCTTATAGATAGGAAGGAAATGTTGTTCTCCCAACATTATTTTTCTTCTTGTTCTTTCAGAATCCCCTTAGAATATCCCATTTGAATCTGAATGATTGCATTCGCCAAAAAAGTCCTTACTTGTTAGAGGTTGATTTCACACTCCACACTATAGAATTAATGCAGTTTGATACTTTACTATTGGGTTGTTGAGGTTTTTTCGGGCTACATGGCGATGGTCTAGAGGCATTCTCTCCTGACGTTTCGCCTGCATCTATGGCAAGCATCCTCAGAGGTAGTGAGGTTTGTTGGAATTAGGAAAAAGGGTTTATATATCTGTGGAATAACCAGGGTGAGACAAAGGGCTCTTGTCTGCTGGAGCTAGGTGTGAATGTTTCAACTTACCACCTTGATTAGCATATAATGGCCTAACAGTGCCTAGAGCAAACTTTTGTTGAGAGGTGATTAGATGTCCTTGTTTGTTTCCTCTCTGTTGTTTTGCTGTTGTAATTTTAGAGTTTTTAAATACTGGAAGCCAGATTTTGTTCATTTTCATGGTTTCCTCTTTTCTGTTGAGATTGTCCACATGCTTGTGGATTTCAATGGCTTCTCTGTGGAGTCTGACATGGTGCTCAATACTATGGAGTCACGGAATCTATAGTTTGGTGAAGGACCAGCAGAAAGGCTAAAGGCTTTGTAAAGCTACTACTCCCATGGCTCCATAGCATTGAGCCATGACAGTTAAAGTGGGGTTAAGCTGCATTAATTCTACAGTACAGATGCACTCAGAGAGAATCTGTATTTATACAATATACCTTTAGATTTGAAGCTGATCAGTGTGGAGCAATGCTAGATCCAAGCTGTAATTTTTTTATGTAACCCAACAAATTCTTTTTTGCTAACTCTGTTACAAACAAAAGTAAATACATTTAATATATTTGAAAATCCCCTAGCACAACTGGAAAGTAATCAATGACAAGCAATGTAACTAATGTAAGTTTCTAACAGACCTCACAACCTTTGAGTATGCCTGCCATAGATGTGGGCGAAACATCAGGAAAGAATGCTTCTAAAACATGGCTAGACAGCCCACAAAATGCACAGCAACCCAGTGATTCCGGCATGAAAGCTTTCGACAGCACAATATAACTAATTATCTTTGAGGGAAAGAATATAATACAATATATTGCATATACATATAATATTTATAATATTATAATGTAATACAATATAATAATAATGCAATATCATACTTATATATTTTATATTACATGTAATATTACTAATAATATTACAATATAATGGTATAGTACAATACAGTAATATATAATACTGATATTGTACTATGCTAATAATATAATATAATATAATATATTGCATGTAGTCATGCTGGCCACATGACCTTGGAGGTGTCTATGGACAACGCCAGCTCTTCAGCTTAGAAATGGAGATGAGCACCAGAGTCCCAGACACAGACATGACTGGACTTAATGTCAGGGGACAACCTTTACCTTTGTGTGTGTGTGTGTGTGTTTGTGTGTGTGTGTGTGTGTGTATATATATATATATATATATATATATATATATATAAATAGCTGTCCCCTGCCACGCGTTGCTGTGGCCCAGTCTGTTGATCTGGAAAATAAAGTAATGAGAAAGTGTTGGTTTCTAATATATGTAATTTCTTTATGCTTGTGGGTAAACAGTATTTCTTGCTGCTTCTTTGTCAGTGTTGATGTGGAGAATGTCTGGTTTGCCCACCCTGAAACATGCAACATATCATTGTCCTTCTTTAAGGGTCCCTTTCAAATCTACGATACCATATCTGTGTGTGTGTGAATCATATCTATCTATCTATATCGATGGCTGGATGGCTCTTTGTCAGGAGGACTTTGATTACATTTTCTTGCCCTGATGAAGGGAGTTGGATTGGATGGCCTTAAGTATTTTCTGTTGTCATGGGGGTTCTGTGTGGGAAGTTTGCCCCAATTCTGTCATTCGTGGGATTCAGAATGCTCTTTGATTGTAGGTGAACTATGAATCCCATGACTACAACTCCCAAATGTCAAGGTCTATTTCCCCAAACTCCATCTGTGTTCATATTTGGGCATATGGAATATTTGTGCCAAGTTTGGTCCAGATCTATCATTGTTTGAGTCCACAGTGCTCTCTGGATGTAGGTGAACTACAACTCCCAAACTCAAGGTCAATGCTCACCAAACCCTTCCAGTATTTCCTGTGTGCCAAGTTTGGGTCAATTCCATCATTGATGGAGTTCAGAATGCTCTTTGATTGTAGGTGAACTATACATCCCAGCAACTACAACTCCCAAATGACAAAATCATAATGTTTTGAGTGATGGTCACTCCTTGTGTTGTGAGACGTTTTGTTGCCAAATTTGGTGTGATTTCATTCATTGGTTCTTTTGTTTTTAAGGTACTCATTATGCACAGAGCATTTATATATATATTGAAGTGATGGGGTGAGAAGGGTGGCATATAAATGTTGTAAATAAATAAATAAAGGTGCTCCAAAGTTAATTTTCCAATGTACAACACTTTATTGGTGCAGCACATTTCAACCAGTCTATCAAAAGTCACTTTTAAAGATACCTGGAGACATTTTGAATGGTTCCCCGCCCGCCGCCCCCCAGCCCTAAGCCTTATGACATTGATGATGTCAATAGTAAACCCTCCTGCTGCAGCAAAAACATAATAGGAAAGCAATATGAAGTGCAACGGGTAACACAAGAAGATATTTGTTGTTGGGACTGTCAGATATAAAAGATTGCTATGAACAGTGAGAACAAACTACATTTTAAAAGTGTCTTTCCAAGCTCTACCTTGAAATTATGTGCAAGTGCATCTACAGCAGGCATGGGCCAACTTGGGCCCTCCAGGTGTTTTGGACTTCAACTCCCACAATTCCTAACAGCCGGTAGGCTGTTAGGAATTGTGGGAGTTGAAGTCCAAAACACCTGGAGGGCCCAAGTTGGCCCATGCCTGCTGTAGATTCTCCTTCCACTCTTCAATATCTAGTGTTGCGCTCTGCTTTTGACTTGACGTGGGATGTTCTTGTACAGTTCCTCTTCTTTTTCCTCGCCACCCAGTGCCTTGGATCCATTCTCCACCACTGACGTTGGCTTCGGTTGTGCCAGAACAAGGGGTGCAAAGCTGGTCAGGTGTGATGGCTGAGCACTGGAGAAGAAGAGAGAAATCAAAGGTGACTTTAAACCAAAGTGCAATTGTGTGTGGCCCCTAAGGCTGTTTTTGTGGCCCTCAAACTATCCCAAGCTCCCCAATTTTTCCTGAATTTCCTTCAAAGAGGCAACTCACTTTTTGAGATAGTAATGGGGCACTCCTGTATTGTCTAAGATTGAAAAAGCAGCACTCATTCAAAACTAGAAGTGAATCAATTGGATCTAACTATATGTACACAAAGGCAAGAAAGGGAGAAACCATCAAACATTAGGAAGAACTTCCTGGTGGATAGAATCATAGAATTCTAGAGTTGGAAGAGACCTCATGAGCCATCCAGTCCAACCCCATTATGCCAAGAAGCAGGAAAATCACATTCAAAGCACTCCTGACAGATGGCCATCCAGCCTCTGTTTAAAAGCTTCCAAAGAAGAAGCCTTCACCACACTCCAGGGCAGAGAGTTCCACTGCTGAACACCTCTCACAGTTAGAAGTTCTTCCTCATGTTCAGGTGGAATCTCCTTTCTTTCCTGTCATTTGAAGCTATTGTTCAATTGCGTCCTAGTCTCCAGGGCAGCAGAAAACAAGCTTGCTCCTTCCTCCCTATGACTTCCCCTCAAGGTGTTTGACAATGGAAAGTATTGCCTGTGAATATGGTGGAGTCTCCTTCTTTGGGTGTCTTTAAACAGGTTGGATGGCTGCCCTGTGTATTCATGTCCCACAAGATGGGATCCCTTACCATTCGGCAGACTACCTTTACCTGTATAATGGGCAATTAAGGCGTCTCATTTCAACATATTCGAAATAATTTTCTTCCTTGTGTTCCACTGGCTGAACCTTTTCCTGGCATTTTGGTGCTTAAATAGAAAAGAAAGACAAAAAGGATGAGTGAAAAAAATGTGGTATTAAATCTTGTTATGGATGTCTTTGTGATAATTACACTACAATCTATGGACGGAAAGAACATTTGCCGTAAAAGGCTTCCGAACTCTAGGAAAAACCCTGTTGCACTCTTGGAACACCTTTGCACCCAGCACCACACTGAGTCTAGTAGATACTGACTACAGCAGTTTATTTACAAAGCCCGTATAAAAGGGAAAAGGGAGCATTTCCCAAAGAAGAAATAGAAAAAGGTGCTATGAAGTAGCATTAGTCCATACATACAAAATAATAATAATAATAAAACTTTATTTATACCCCGCTACCATCTCCCCAAGGGACTCGGTGTGGCTTACATGAGGCCGAGCCCAAAGTACATCAACAGTAAGAGCAATAAGAAAACAGTCAATGCAACAGTTGAAATATCAATAGTCCAAAATAGGAAGGCACATGAAATCCAGGAAGTCAAGAACATAGGCATAACTCCATAAGCAGGAAAACAGGAACTTTTCCAAGGCAAAACTCAATCAGGAACAAAGGTAAACACAAGAGACTTGAAACATGAGCATGAGAGCTGAAACAGGAACTTGATTCTATGGCAAAGTTGTCTGCTCTGAAGATCCCCAGTAAACATT